TTAGCTTAGGCTAAGTTTAAAACATTTTGCAAGTGAAAACATTCCCATCAGGCCCTTTCCTCCCCCAGCATAACTGCTCCAAATGTCTGTGCCATGGGCAGCAGAAATGCACAGCCACTTCTCTCTAACATGTTTCCGCAGCATTTGTGGCTGAGCTGGGTCTATCTGTGCTGTGGCTGAATCGCTATACGTGACAGGAAAAGTTAACCCTACCCATCCCTAGCAAACACGAGGTCAAATTCATTGTCACTGCCACTCAGTGTTCACTTTTCTTCAAGGAAAAAGCTCTGTTCCTTTCGGGGTGGGGGTGGGGGGACCCTTCCACTCCCAGCCTAGTGCAGATGTGGCTGAGCCCCGCTCCCATGACCCATAGATACAGTCATGTGACCTGGCCTGGCTTATCAACAAATTCCACACTCTTGCCCAGCCGTGTGGCTCAGTGGTTGAGCATCAACCTATGGAACAGGAGTCATGGTTTGATTCCCAGTCAGGCACATGCTGGGGCTGTGGCTCCATCCACTAGTGGGGCCCTTGCAGGGCCTAATTTGGAACAAAGATGTGGATAGCCCATTTTAAGTAATCCTGCAAAGTGGCTAGGACTTAACTCAGCCTCCTTAGTCAATACCCTCCCCCAGCCCCCCTCATCATGAAGGTTCCATCTGAGTATTATATAACAATTCACCCTTCAGATCTAGGCAAAACATGCAGTGTGATAATTACAGCCAAGTGAAAAGAATTAAACACACACACACACACACCCTGAATTCAAATGCTTCCATTTCAGGAAACATCTATCTCTCTCCACCTCCACCTCCACCCCCACCCTCATAACTCTACTACCCTACACACACACACACACACACACACACACACCACAGCAATCACAGAGGCAGAAACTGCAATCCAGAGGTCTGAAGTGTCCACGGTCTCAAGAGATAGGATCGCACAGTCAGAAAGAGACAGAAGAAAACACCCTAGCAGTTAAGCACCAAATAGCCGCTTTGCCATTGTCTGTGGTCAATTAGAGGTGACTTCGGCCCCTCTATTATGATAGCAGGGCCAACATGTCAGAATCGCTCCCGTCGCCTCTGTCCTCACCACCTACATAGGAGCACCTCTTCGGTTAAAGCACCATGGTGCAGCTGGAACATTCTAACATGGAGGGAAGGGAAGTTTATTCTCACAGCAGCGCACAGAGCCATCTCATTTGTTTAGAGGGGACCGTAATTAGAATGTTAAAGATGACACGCTGAAGAGGACTTAGCTTAGGCTAAGTTTAAAACATTTTGCAAGTGAAAACATTCCCATCAGGCCCTTTCCTCCCCCGGCATAACTGCTCCAAATGTCTGTGCCATGGGCAGCAGAAATGCACAGCCACTTCTCTCTAACATGTTTCCGCAGCATTTGTGGCTGAGCTGGGTCTATCTGTGCTGTGGCTGAATCGCTATACGTGACAGGAAAAGTTAACCCTACCCATCCCTAGCAAACACGAGGTCAAATTCATTGTCACTGCCACTCAGTGTTCACTTTTCTTCAAGGAAAAAGCTCTGTTCCTTTCGGGGTGGGGGTGGGGGGACCCTTCCACTCCCAGCCTAGTGCAGATGTGGCTGAGCCCCGCCTCCCATGACCCATAGATACAGTCATGTGACCTGGCTTGCCTAATCAACGAATTCCACTCTCTTGCCCAGCCGGTGTGGCTCAGTGGTTGAGCATCAACCTATGAACCAGGAAGTCATGGTTTGATTCCCAGTCAGGGCACATGCTGGGGCTGTTGGCTCCATCCACAGTGGGGGCCCTGCAGGGCCTAATTTGGACAAAGATGTGATAGCCCCATTTTAAGTAATTCTGCAAAGTGTTGGACTTAACTCAGCCTCGTTAGTCAATGCCTCAGTGAGTCTCCCTCATCATTGATGTTTCTATCTCTATTTCCCTCTCTCTTCCTCTCTGAAATCAATTAAAAATAAAAAAATAAAAAAGGGTTCCACTCTCACAGTTAGCGAGTTAAACCCTTGTCGTTCTAAGGACACTCCTGAGACTCCTGAGACTTTGCTGGAGCTTTGGGAGGAAGTCCTCTTTCAATGGTCACTGGCAACTGTAAACATAATGTGAGCCCGAGCTGCCAAGAACCGTCCCTTGAAGAAGAGCCGCCTAAAGCCAAAGCCAACCCAGAGGAGAGCCAGCCCAGCAATTGATCAACAGATAAACTGAGTCCCGGTGAGCTCACCGGAGGTCTTGGATCCAGCTTTCCCTGTAGTTAGTAATGCTTTAGTCACATGAATCGGTCAAGGTCTTATTTTGTTTAAGCTACTTTTTCTGTTACTTGCAACCTAAAGGGCCTTGATTAGCAACCCCTCCTGAAAAAACCCTCTGCTGTTTATGAGCCCACGAGCTTCCTTTTCTTTTCCCGGGCTGTGCAGGGAACATGGCCTCGTGTACAGACATTCCACACCAATGCTGCTTCTATCTGGCCCAGCAGAAGCCCCAGAAACTATTGGACCTGAGAACCCTCCAGAGAGAAATTCATGGTGACAGATCCCACCTCTGCCCACAGGTCCGCTGCAGCCTGCCCTGCCTTCCGCCCGGCTCATCGCTGAATTGAAAGAAAGGCTTGTGAGAAGCCCAGGTGAGGCCTCCGAGGGGAGCAGACAATGATGGCAGGAGCAATGGTAGCGAGAGACGGTCCCTAATGACAAAGGTTTCTCCACCACCTCCAGCAGAAAACACATTATCCTGGGAGGGAACCCTGCCCGAGTGGCCTTCCCTCACTGCAGAGCAAGCTCAGGAACAGTGACCCAGTCCCACAGGCCCCAACACGATGCAGGGCTCTCTGCTGGGATCTGAGCTCTCTCTGTTTCAGAGAAAGAAGGGCCTGCCCTCAGGAAGCCTGTGATCTGATTGCTCCATGCTCCCACCACCATCAAGCCCTCCCATTCACGCTTCCTCTGCATGGAAAGCGCCCCCCACCCCCCACTGCTGTCTAGCCTGGCTACTCTCTACTCATCTTTCAGGTCCCAGATCAAGAGAGCTCTCCTCCAGCAAGCCTTCCTTGACACTTAAGCCATGTCGCTTGCCTGCCTCCTGTACCTCACTGCAGCGTGTGGCCACTTCTCACATAATCCCGAGCCCTGTCATTGGCTGCTTGTCTGTGAGCATCCTGGGGGCAGAAGACTGTGTCAGGTTTTCATTCCATCTGCAGTCTGGCCCACTACTTGTTTTTGTTAAAGTTTTATTGGGACACAGCCACATTTGCTGTGCTACGATGGCAGAGTTGCATAGTTTGGGCAGACACCTGATGGCCCCCAACACCTAGACCAGTTGTCGGCAAACTGCAGCTCACGAGCCACATGCAGCTCTTTGGCCCCTTGAGTGTGGCTCTTCCACAAAATACCGACTTCTGCACATGGGCCATGAAGTTTCAATCGCACTGTACATGCGCGCCCGCTCATGGGATTTTGTGGAAGAGCCACACTCAAGGGGGCAAAGAGCCACATGTGCTCTCGAGCCGCAGTGCTGACCACTGGCGTAGACTATTTAACTGTCTGGCCCCTTTACAAACAGGTTGTTCTACTCTCTGTGGCAGAGTATCATTACATAGCCCATGCCAATTCAGAAGCCAGCTTTGCATCAACAGGACAGGAAATAAAGCTGGCGATAAAGCAGGGAGAGAAAGGGGTGCAGTCTCTCTGAACCGAGGAGGGGAGGCTCAGCTGGACTTGGAGATCCTCAGTGCTGAGGATGGAGCAAAAGGGCACGTGGGGATCCTTTTCCGAATTTGCTTTAAATTATGGGCTCTCTGAATTGTCAATGCGCATGCACACATGTAGGCCTGAAACCCAGCATGAGTGGGCTTATGGGGGGAAGATCCGAGATGGCCTCGGGCTCCTGTGCTCCCTCCAAAAGGCATCCCCTCACGTCAGCAGTGTGGGCAGAACACAAGCCCAGTGCTGCCTCCCTTCAGGCCTATGGGTGCCGGGCACTCGCTGGGCATTTCCCATCAGTGATTAAACAGAGGAAACGGATCCCCAGGGGACATTAGGCAATGAACCGAGACATGTTTGGGTGTCACAACTTGGGAGGAGGGCTGCTACTGGGATCTAGTGTGTGGAGACCAGGGGTGTTGCTGACGCCCTGCATCGCACAGGCCAGCCCCGCTACTGAGGATTCCTGGGCTCTGGCCCTGAATGTTAATCGTTCGGAGGTCTAGTCTCCCTGCCCGGCATGCATTGCATCTCTAACCCCACTTGATTCTATTGTTACGCCTGCTGGGGCCCAGAACTGGTAAATGAGTCCACAAGGCCAGAGCCACGGGTAGCTCTTTGGGAAGCCAGGAGCTGAACCAGAGCTCAGGTTATCCTGCGCACAGGTGCCTCTCATTTGGCAGGACTCTCATCTGGTGGGGAGGTTTGTTCCCATTTTTAAATAAGCAAACCTGTCTCTGTCACAGACACACCTGGCCTCAAGACCTGTTTCCACCTGGTGATGTGGTGCTGGGGTATTTATTCAAAGGTGCCAGCATTGTGCTGGCCGGTTTGGCTCAGTAGATAGAGCATCAGCCTGTGGACTGAAGTGTCCTGGGTTCGATTCCCGTCAAGGGCATGTACCTCAGTTGCAGACTCGATGCCCGGCCCCAGTCCGGGTGTGGGCAGGAGGCAACCAATCAACGTGTCTCTCTTATATTGATGTTTCTCTCCCCCCCCCTTCCTTCCACTCTCTCTAAAAAAATCAATGGAAATGTCCTCAGGTGAGGATTTTTAAAAAAAAAAAAGGTATCAGTGTTCCACCAGCCAGACCAGGGTATTAACCCTTGGCGAGTTAGAGCTCCAGCTTGGATAACTCTGCCATCTCAGGCCCAAGGTCTCGCTTCAGAAGGCTCTGAGGCCACCCTAGGAAATTCAAGAGCCAGCAGGGGCACCACTGGAGCCGGGACAAGCCACCCACCTTTACCAAACCGGTGGCATTCTGGCACACCCAGGGCGCTGAGCGCTAGGAAGCGTGGCCAGGGTCACCGAGGAACCTGCAGGCACACTCAGGTACACAGGGCTCTGACTGCACTCCTGTTCCCGGTGCCCAAACAGATGTTGGCGGGACCCCCCAGAGTTACTTATTAACACTGACAGCAGTTCCAGAGAGATCCTAATTAATATTCCTGCCCTTTGCACTTCGGGCTAATTACAGCTAATATTTAATTAAGATCATTGTACTTCCCATGGGATTACTTTTCACCTTCAAACGGCTTCAGAGGTGCCTTTGTCTCCTCCCTGGTGTTGCTGCTGGACTCTTAGCGTGGAATAAATGGGCTGACATCCACATTAAGGGTACCTTTTCCACTCAAGTTCAAGGCGAATCTTGGGCCCATGCACAGGTTAAAAGCTGGAGCCAACTCCGTGCAGGAGACAGTGACGGGCAGAATTCTTTGGAGCATGCTGGCTAGACATTCCCTCATTGGCAGAAGTTGCCTTCTTTCTTCTCCTCCAAGGCCGAACCCCCACCCCCCACCCCCTAAATCAGGGAACCCATGACAGAGATCTGGGCATGTACAGAGTCAAGGTGCTGGTGGGTGTTCTGAGTTGACAGGGAGGGGGCCTCTGATTTGCACGTATCCCCCCACATCATCGACCAAGTGCTTCAAGAGATTTTGCAAACCTAACATCTAATTTTCAGTGCCTGCACTTTCTTGGGTTGCTGCTAAATACACAAAAGGCGGGGGTGGGGGGGAGGGCCAAGACCTGATATTTTTAAACCCGATAATGCTCCTGAAGAGCTAGGTAGAAACTTGAAGGGAAGAACATCATTTAGGATAAATGTAGGGGAAACTTCTTTGTCCTCACACACCAAACCTCAATTAGAGCAACTCATCAAGGGCCCCGTGATGTGGGACCTCCAGTTCCTGAGAGCAAATGGATATTAACATGCAACCAAGTCTGGTTCACCAAAGCAAAAAAGAAAAAATGCCATTTCAATTTAAATATTTTACTGAAGCATGAAATAGCCAGGATATTATTGCTATTTTAAGACAAACACCGTAATCTGTCTATTAGCATAGCGTGTCGACTCGGCTGCACCCAGACGTTCAGCGAGCCTTTCCTCAAACGCACTGAGAAGCTTTTTGGTCACTGAAACATCCTTCATTCTTCATCTTCTTTCCAAGGTGCACCCAGGAGACAGAATCAGAAAATGAGAGGATTCCTCCCTCCCCTCTCCGCCCCCCCTCCAGATATCTCTCTTCTCCCATTCATTGCCCTGAATGGTTGAAAAGAGTAGTTTTGGAAAGCTAATAAGAGAACAAAGGGTGGCAGCCCATTTGACTTGGCAAAATATTTTGGCTCAACATCTAATGCAAACCACATTTCAACTGAGAAACCGTCTTTACGTGGCAGGGCACGGAACGGGTTATTCTTTGCAATGTGACTGCCAGACTGTCACTGCGGGGGAAAGGGGCTGTTTTCATAGCTGCCAAGTGGACTTTAAAGTAATCAAGGGTGCGTGTGTGTGTGTGTGTGTGTGTGTGTGTGTGTGCATGCGTGCACGTGTGTTTCCCCAGCTTTCATAGTTACACTTCCTGAGCATCTTCTCCCCTTTTGCTCCGGGAATATTTTGTTCTCAGTCCGAATCTTGCCCTGAGAACCCTCTTCTGGCCTAAACTCAGCCCTTATAATGAAGACATGCACGGGGATTGTCCAGCCCTAATGAAGAAGCAGTTCTTTGATCTGTCCACACAGCCACCGTGGGACGACCCCCCTGCCCCCCACCCCCCAGCGACTCAGACTTGCTGGAGGGAACTATCCATTCTTGGTTGCCCACAGTCTCCAGTCGGGCTGACAGTTTGTTTTCCTTTAGTTTAGTGGCTGATCTGTTCTACTTCTCTGGCAAGAAATCTCGCCTATTCAGAGAAAACCTCCAGCGCCCGAATAAGAGAAGTAAATTGCCTCTTGCCCCCGGGGCATTGAAACAAAGAAGGAAAATGCAAAATTACACCATTAACCTGGTAGTTCTAAGACCAGCTCAGTTCCACACATCAAGCAGAAAGCCGACACACACACACTCTTGGCTGAAATCCTCTCCTCTCCCCGGCGTGATTCAAGGAGCAGAATATACATGGCACAAGCAACAGAGACTCCACCGCAAGGAGAGATTGCAGCTCAATTCAAATCACAATGGCGAGTGGAAAATAAAATGGGAAAAAAATACCTGCTGCACCATCCTGCTTGCTTTCTCCTCCATAAACTTAGCAGCTGTTCTAGACCCACACCACAGAGCATCTGCTCAAAGCAAGCCTCAGCTACGAGCCGGGGTGTGTGCGCGGTGCAACGTGTGGATGGCTGGGGTGTTGCGGGAGGGGGAGCTGAAGCCGCCTGGCTGACCTCCCCCTCAACATCTGACTGCTCCCCAAACCAACCCCAGATGGGACTCTTTCCGCCAGCGAGGCCTGGCCCATCAATCACAGCTCGCTCCTCCTCCGACTCCTGCTCAGTTTCAGAGAGCACACTGAGCAGATGATTATAGAGTGGAGGAGGAAAAAAAAATACACACGTACACGCGCACCTCACCACACGGCACACGACTACATTAATAGCTGTTTAAAAAACATTAGAAATGCAAGCCTATGCATTGCCTGGAGCTGGAATTTTTCATTTCTAAACTAAATATACGGCATGCAAAGTTATGAAATCCACCGGGGGAGCTTGCTACTATCGTATTTTGCTTTAGATTTTTAAGAGGGGGTGGGGGGTGGTGGCAGGGTAGTACGGGAAGACAGAGGAAGGATGAAGAAAGAGCTCAAGAGATAGAAGGATGGTTAGGGGTACATTTACAAAAATACCCTGAGATCACTGCGCATGGATTTGTAACTGAGCTGCATGATGAATTGGAAAGTGATCTTCACATACTGTCACTGGCAATCGTTGGGAAGACTTGGAGACCCCCCTTTTCTGCAAACCAGCTGTGTGACCGAGGCAAGTTGTTGCAATACACCAGGCTCTAGTTTTTGCTTCTGTTTAATGGTAATAATGATGAGTGACTTCACGGGGTGATAGTGAGGGTCAACATCAAGATCAACTCACAGCAAAACAGACACAGGGCCTGGCTCATAGCATCGCTGTATATGCAGATGCATTCATCACAGACAATGCAATGGTGGGCCAAGGCCAAGACCATCTGGGTCCCTATGGGATATGCACTTCAGAGGTGCATTGGGCTCTTAGGAAAAGGCCCATAGTGACCACCAAACCCCAGGGCTGATGAATGCTACGAAGGAGACCCATAGGGGTCTTGCTTTCTCCTGGTCTTGAACGTTTGTCTCTTGCTCGCTCATTGTTTTTTCTTCTCTCCCAATGAGCAAAAATAAAACCTTGTGCAAACATAATCCCCAGCGATCTTTATGCCAAATGCTGCCTCTTTATTTAAAGCTACAAATACTCTGTCCTTTCTTTATTATTAAAAGTACAACAACCAGAGTGAAATGTCAAAACAATTTCAGTTTTTATTTGGTCGTGTCTTTCTTGCTCGTTGAGGGAGAGGTTTGGAGAGTCCCATCCCCCTTCCCGTGGACAGCTGCTTATCTCTGCGATGCCTCGCTGGGGAAGGAGAACTCTTGCTACCCTGGAGGGGATGGATGGGGTTTCCAAAGTGATTAAACTTGTAATTAAATTGTGCAACAGAGGAGGAGGCGAGGGCAGAGAAGGCTGCCTGGAAGAATTGAACTTTCCTGCTGGTCTCTCGGTGGTACTAGTTCAGGTAATTCTTGGGTGATTTTTTTTTAATTCCAGTTCCCCAGGGTTGGAAAGAGAATCTGGATAAATGGCATTTGTGACATCCTCACACCTCCATTTTCAATCACGCTCTGGGGATACGGCTCAGGCAGCATGAAATAAGCACTGTTTCAGGTTCCCCACAGGGATATGCCGGCTCCTCTCAGAGCTGCGTAACCTCAGAAGACCTCAGCCCCTCCCTCCCCACACGTGGACTCAGCGGTCACTCTCATGAGCCACAAGCTTTCTCTTGTCCTTACTGATAACTAAAAGGTCAAACCTCTGTCCTTCAACCAAAGTATAGGGGTCTTGCTGTTTCCTAGAAAAGCAAGAGGGACAGACCAAGACAGAAAAATTCCCTGCTGAAGGATATTCTGGGGAGTAATAGAGAAAATACTAAAACAAATAAACATCTCCCCTCCACAAAACAATAACACCCACTAAATAGAGAAGAACGTTTCAGGTGGAAACAGTCAGAGAAGCAATGGAACATTGGTCCTTAGCCAATGGACCATCCGATCACGTGGGGCAGTCTCATAAAATAATCAGATACCAGGACTCCACCCCAGTCCCACTGGTTTAAACTCTGAGAGCGGGGTCCAGGCTCTGTGTGAAAGTGCCTGAGGTCATTCTGATACACAGTCCTGATGGAAAGTTGGGGAAATTTTTTTGTATTTTTCAAACTGTAGGTGTGATACCTTGAGATATAAAACCTATGTAGGGGGGTGATCACGCCAACATTTTAAAAATGAAATAAACTACACTACACTGAAAAAGAAGAGAATAAAATAGTAAGAGTTATTTCATGAAACTTTTATGTGGGTGAATTGGGTTGCAATGTAACATCTTTTATGGATTGCAGTAAAAGAAATAAAATTAAAAATACGATGCTAGGCAATTCCGGTGCTTGTTATTATCGTATCTTTCATCAGCGCTGTGACTATGGAATCAAAGTCCAATGTTGGGATGTCAAGCATATTGGCAGAGCGATTGGCAAGTTATTCTACTTCAGTGTGCCTCAGTTTCCTCATTTATTAATATAAATAGAAATACATATTTTTCTTCCCAATGAGTCTCTTATGATGGTTTTGGGAGAAAATCTACAGAAATGTGTTTTGTAATCCAGGAAGCCCTAGGAGGGCATATGTCCTGCTGTGGGGATGAAATCAGTCCCCTTCTAGGTCAGCAAAGTGTGTTGACTTCTCATCTCCTGCCTGCCAGCTGCTGTGGTAGGCACGTTAGTCCTCACAACCACCCCTGTGAGGTAGATATTAAAGATACAAAAACTGAACCCCCAAATAAGTGAAGGCATATTTCCCATGATAGGAGCTCTTAACTTAGTTAAGTGGCAGAACCAGAACTTGAACCAAGTTTGGTCTTATCCAAGTATTCCTGTCACTGAATCCATACTAAGATGGAGATGGAGATGATGATGATGATGATGATGATGATGATATGAAGATGGAGATGATGATAGTGGTAATGATGATCATAAAGATGAATATGATAATGGTGATGAAGATGATGGTGGTGGTGGTGATGAAGTTGGTGGTGGTGATGATGATGATGATGAAGATGGAGATGGTGATGGTGATTGTGATAAGAAAACTTCCCTTGAGTACTAACTTTGTACCAGTCATTGCTCTAAGCCAGGGGTCCTCAAACTATGGCCCGCGGGCCACATGCAAATACAAATATTGTATTTGTTCCCGTTTTGTTTTTTTACTTCAAAATAAGATATGTGCAGTGTGCATAGGAATTTGGTCATAGTTTTTTTTTTTTTTAACTATAGTCCGGCCCTCCAACAGTCTGAGGGACAGTGAACTGGCCCCCTGTTTAAAAAGTTTGAGGACCTCTGCTCTAAGCACTGAGGATACAAAATCCAAAAAAGCAATTTTACCTATGTTACTTCATTTAACAAGAACCCAATGTGGTTCATATTGTCATTCCCTTTCCAAGGGAGGTAGGGTTACTTCCTCACACCCACACAAGTAGTAAGTTATCCAAATCCATCAGACTCTTAAGCTCTACATTCTGAAATAGTTATAGATAAGGTCATATCTGACCTCAATTAGGTGAAGGTACCAACCTTTGTTTCCTAACTACACGGGCTTACAGAAAAGCATGTCTGGAACAAAGAACTCTGAGATTGCTCTGAGGCCATAATTCACAAAAACAAACAAACTGCAAAGATAATAAGAATCCATGTCACAGATTCAAGTGAAAGCAATTTGTCTCCTTTCACTTTCCCGGCCTTGACAGGGAAGCAGAGAGAGAGGCCAGAAGCCATCTTGCTGTGGCTGACAAACTCCAGCCCCAGAAACACAAACCGAGTGGGTGGCAGGCTCGCAATGACGAGGTGTCATGTTTGCAAAATGTTCCATCCTGACTTTCCATTTGGATCACAGAAGGCAGCGTAGAGGCTGCTTTTCTCAACTCCTTAAAAGTTAGTGACTATCAAATATTTATGGCACTTTGTGCAAGTCCGGAGCCTTGATGTGTTGCTTATGAGGTGCTATTTCCAAAGGGAAATACATGTGCGTGTCTCTAAAAAAACGAGCAGCCTCTGGAGCAAGTGAAGTTCCCACAATGGGACCAGGCACTTAGGAAGATGGGTTTTCTCATCTTGCTCACACCATCCCCGGGGGTCAGAGGGCCCTGACTTACCCTTTTAAAAGCTCATTGAAGTTTAACATTATACACCTTTCGATTTTGACATTTTATATATTTTTACATTATATATATTTTGATGTCTGTCTCCAACTAGACTGTAAACTCCACGAGGACAGAAACCTCACCTGTTTTTCTCAGCACTGTTGCCTCAGGTATTTCAAAGAGTGGCACACACACACACACCACACACACACACACACACACACACCCAATCAGAATGTTTTCTTGAACGAAAAATAAATCCTCAAGCTAGTCTCTTTATCACTATTGCTATCAAGAAGTTCCCTGACTCACCCAGTACCTCAGAGCACTGAGAAATAAGCTCAGACCATTAAACGTTACTCTGCACTGTTGGAAAAATACTCCCTCCCAGTGGAATATCCCAATGTTGTACCGAAGGGTTTTTTGTTGGAAGGTCATGCAAACAGGGCTCCACCTATCTGTATGTGAAGTTGCTATCAATATCTTGTTATTTCCTGTTATTAATAAACAGTCACAACCAGAGAAGTTGATATGGATAAAGTTCATTTTAAGCATCAGCCAATGCAAGTCACTATATATACAGTTCCTGTAGGGATAAAGTTAGATTTTATATGTAGTATTCTTTATAAATTTATATGTTTATATTTTCTATGAACTTATTTTTATCACACTCCTTTCCCAGAATAGGAAGTAAGAGGTATTGAAGCTAGTAAGTGAAAGATGTAGACCTCAAACCCAGCTCTTTCTCCAAAGCTGAGGTCCTTTCAAGCAGCTGTGATTGACCTCTTTGTTGGCTAA